ATGAGCCGATATGCCAGAAGGGAGGTGTTAGATTTGGGCTATAATTACTCACTTTAGCACAGTATGTCATAACTTAATCCATTTAAATAACTGACTGTCTTATTCCTTTTTAGATTTATATTATTCCCTTTATAAATATACTTTTGGGTTAAACTCTCTGGCTATGCCTCCTCCTCTCTCTGTTTCAGTAGATACACGTCTTTAAGGTCAGTATTCACACTTTCTTATCACATTCCACCGAAACCTGCATGAATTAGGACCTGGCCTGTTCATGTCAGAGCTAACTAGCCAATAACACTCGGTTAGGTTACCCTATCCCACATTAGCATTAGCATCTCCTAACCCACAGGTCTGTGTCCTAACCATTAAGTTGTTATCAGAGTAAATCCCTGTTCAACATGAGTCTGACAACTAAGTAAGTAGATTAATAAATTTAAACTTTAACACATGCTCTGATAGGCCGGGATCGGGATTGGAAGTGAAAAAAGCCCTAGCAGACGCTATCAGACACTACTGTTTGAAATCTAAAGGAAAATGCTTGTAGGCATTTTACACCAATCACGTTCTTGTTGTATAATTAAAATGCTGTAAATAAGTCATTTGGACCCTCAGAACCAAATAACAAAAACGTTTAATTAAATATATAAACAAACATTTTCAATTTTAATACAAACCCACTGAGCCTTTATTAAGAAAAACTACATGAACCAGGACAAAGTCTAGTTATTAAAATCAGTTTTTAAGTCCGATCCCACACGAGCATTAGCATTAGCATTAGCATCTGCTAACCCACAGGTCTGTGTCCTAACCATTAAGTTGTAATCAGAGTAAATCCCTGTTCAACATGAGTCTAACAACTAAGTAAGTAGATTAATAAATTTAAACTTTAACACATGCTCTGATAGGCCGGGATCGGAAGTTAAAAAAGCTGGATCGGGACGTCCCTAAAACAGACGAGCTCATTTGAATTTGAAGTGGGTCTGCAGGATGCTGAGAGTCCACACAAAGCCATTCCTGAACATTAGCTCTAACCCCCCC